AGCTGTCTTTCTTTGACCCAAACCCTCAGAGCAGCAAAGAGACGAACTGATGGACGGAGGGAAGGAGTGATGAGGAGCTAAAAGATGCAGGTGTTGGTTATGAGAGCTGGATAGAACCCTGACAGACCCAGAACAGAACCTGAAGCGTTAAATGCAGGTCCAGGTGCTGATCTGCGGCTGTTTCAGTGCTCAACTGTTTGTGTGCAGCCGGATGTTCCCGGTGCTGAAGGTCAGCGTGTCCGGACTGGATCCCAGCTCCATGTACTCCTTCCTGCTGGACTTCGTGCCGGCCGACAGCTGCCGCTGGAAGTTCGTGAACGGCGAGTGGGTGGCGGCCGGTCGGGCAGAGGGTCGCGGCGAGGGGCGGGGCCACGGCGGCATCTACATCCACCCAGACTCTCCCAACTTTGGAGCCCATTGGATGAAGGCAGCCGTGACCTTCAACAAGGTCAAACTGACCAACAAGGTGAACGGAGGAGGACAGGTGAGACTCAGACGGTACCGACCCGCTCATTCATTCAGTCATCACTCAGCTCAGACAGGCCTCAGCAGCAGTTGGTCCCTGAGCACCTAAATGACTCTACTCTGTGTCCCTCACAGTAATCAGATTACTTCTAATAGCAGACTATCTGCTCTGATACCAGATTACAAACTACCAGCTCAGATCCACAGATTACCTTCAGGCTCCACAGCAGGAACTGAACGACAGTCAGTCCATCTCTGGTTCCTTCACATGTTCTGATGGAGGAGACCAGAGTCCACTAAGTTCTGCTCACATGTTCTGATGGAGGAGACCAGAGTCCACTAAGTTCTGCTCTTTGCTGAGGGGTTGTGCTGCTCTACCGTTCTCTGGAAAACACCTCAAAGAGCTTCTGTTGGGTTCAGCTCAGGACTCACACTGTCCAGGTCCTGGTTCCACTTGGTTCTGGTGGGACAATAGAGTCATTTTGGGGAACAATTCTATACATTTTCTAATAATTGTGGACCTCCGTGCTTCACTGTCAGGACCATGCATCCACTGTGGTGGTCCTGGTCAGGTTCACACCAAACATCTGGACTCCATGTGAGCCCAACACATTGATCTCCATCTGACCAGAGGATGTTCTCCAACATCCATCAGG